TGCGGGTTATCCATCAATCAAAACCCTTTTGAATGGCACTTCCTCCAGATGAGCAATTACATAAATGGGCTTGAGATGGTTGGCCATGGCCAAACCCGGACGACTGAAGACCATCATGTATATGTACACTCTCTTGGGCTATCTCTTTGTGGGCTTGGACAAATCTACTATGCCCAACTCTTTTTTTTCCCACATTTTCAACACTAACATGTGCCATCATAGGTTCTGTTGCTAAGTAGTCACCCTCTATTATGGCAGGTTGATCATGTTCAACACAAAACATGGCAGATAAAACATAGGTCATGTTTACATGGAAGTTGCTAGGTCCGAATAAGTTCTCATTTTTGCCCCCCAATGTGGTTCATGAACTTATTTAACCAGGCTTATCAAGCCTCCTAAGCATGGCAAGCAGGCTGCATCCATCGGTCTAGGGATGACATTCCCGCACATCATCACGTGTTGCCTCGGTGTATATGATGTGTCAGGTTTGGGACATTCCCGCCCATGGTGGCGGCGCCTGTGCTTCTTCTGGCAGCATCAGCTCTGGCACCCTCTCTTCCTAGGTTATGCCAAAGTTTAGCATTTGTTCTGGAACCTCGTAAAGAGTATCAACCAACAATGATGCGAGCAACCCCCTCTCAGGTGAGATAGTTCCAAAGCATATTGGTTCTGGGCTCCATCTTGGAGTTGGCATCATCACCATATCCTCTTAAGCTCTCCTCAAGATTTTGTATTTCCCAAGATGAGGGTTTTGCGGCACATGGTCTCTTTCCCTTTCGGTCTTGCTATTAGCATTCTCCACTTCCTTCTTGGTTCTCTAATGGAATTGATTTCTTCTCTCATCGGTACTTTTTCAAACTTTACATTCTCTGAGGTTTCTGAGGCAACGGGGACTTTCAATGAGTTTATGTCGGCTTTATGTTGCCTATAGACTCTCCTAATCATGGAGGCTCACATTTCTTTAATAGGTCTTCCATCATTTCTGACCACATACCATTTCTGCCCCGAGTCAGGCAAGATGTAAAATCCCACATCGACCAATGAAGATGGGGTGATGTGCCTTATATGTACATGCTTCCCTCCTTATAGCACGATGCCTTTTAGGAACTCACTAGCTTCGGATTCTATCAGAACTCCAAAGTTAAGTGAGTTCGAGCAAGAGCAATCTTAGGATAGGTAACCTATTGGGAAGTTCTCGTCTGAGTTCCTAGAAACAAAACCGTGAAGGTATGGTCGGGGCCCAATGAAGACAATATCGTGCTACAGCGGAGCTAGTCTAGGATGTGACAAAATGGTATCATAGTCACTCTATCGTTCGGTGCAGATGTGCCGGCGAGGACGCCGGGTTCCCCTTAAGTGGGGTGGATTGTAAGATCCTACATCGACCAACGAAGATGGGGTAATGTGCCTTATATGTACATGCTCCCTTCCTTATAGCACGAGGCCTTTTGGGGACTCACTGGCTTTGAATTCCACTGGAACTCCAAAGTTAAGCGAGTTCAGAAGAGAGCAATCCTAGGATAGGTGACCCATTAGGAAGTTCTCGTCTGAGTTCCCAGAAACAAAACTGTGAAGGCGTGGCTGGGGCCTAAAGTGGACAATATCGTGCTACGGCAAAGCCAGTCTGGGATGTGACACAAGATTCTTCTTTGTGACTAGATTTATGGTTCACCCCTTAACTCTGACATCTCCACCAGCATAGCTTGGTTGAGGTGGCCTCACATCCACCCATCTTGGCACTTTAGCCTCTCTGTCCTCCACCTTTTCAGAAGCTTCGTAATTTCTGAATACTTCTGATAAACCCTTTGGTTAGCTCCCAACCTTTGGAAAACATTCCTAGAGGTCTCTCTCTCAGCTACCCGTATGACATTTCTACGGGTTTCTTGCTTTTCTTTTTCTTTTCTCTTGATCAGCTCTTGATCAATAATGGTTCCTGACGCTAAGACTTCCAGCTCACACTCACATTGGCATCTATTGCACAATACCACTCATTTGATTATGGCCTTCTTGGGTTTCTCGAGCAACTTTATGGCTCCCTCAGTTGGCCTATCAACTTGCCTTCATTATGCTTTCACCTCCCAAGTAGCTTTTCTTTTCCCTTCTCAGCCCACATAAGGTTGATCATGTTTATTGGGATTATAGGAAGAGGTCAATGTAAATCATTATGTTGGCCTACGGTTTCTCCAGCAACAACTTTCCCTGTACTATAAGGTCTTATATCAAGTCTCTGAACTAGACACAGTTGATTATAGAGTGATTGAAAGTGTAATGCAGCTTGCAATACTTTTTTCTTCTCAACTCTTCAGGCTTGGGCAGTTTTTTAGCGCTGTCGAGCACAATCACCCTTGCCTGAACCAACTCCTCATAGATCTTCGCGGCCTTGGTTAAGTCAAAGGAATAACTCTGGTACTTGGGGGGGTTTCATAGGGACAAATCCACCATCGTTCGTGACCACTTTCTAGTCCTTCAGTGGCTGGACTAACTCTTTTACAGTCAAACGTTTGAAGGGGTAGTCATCTCTGTCGCATACACATCCATTTTCTCTCATTCATGGCCATTATTCTCTTCTGATTCTCATTCAAACTTCACTTGGTGAATAACAGCTTTGTTTTTGTACAAAGGAGGCACCTTAGATAAATGCTTTACTTGTTGTTCCTCTATCAACAGCTTCTCATACTTGGTAGCCACAATTACCAACTCTTGCAGCTCATTGAACTGCACGTCATAAAACTTCTTCCTTAAAGGTAATCTCAACGCCTTCTGAGCAATAGATACGAGATGTGCATGATTTATAGGGAACTGGCACCTCATCCTTATCTTCCTGAATTTCATCATGAAGTTTTCTGTAAACTCATGCTCGTACTACTTCACCTCTACAAGGTCATTGATAGACATCTCGGGCTCGACCCTGTAAAACTGCTCATGGAAGGTCATCTCTATTTGCCCCTAGTTGGCAATAGAATTAGAGGGCAACAAAGAATACTATTGAGATGCTAAGCCCACCAAGGAGTTCCTAAACAATCTCAACTTGTAGTTTGGATTGTCTTCAAATGCCACCAGTAATTAGAGAACTTGAAAATGTGATCTCTAGAAGACATATTACCATCTTCTCCTTTGAATGTTGGGAATGCGAGCATCTTGAAGTTGACTGGAAAAGGATTCTACTCGTTAACGTACTCAGGATAGGGTTTCTGATAAGTGATCCTAAATAACGGGCAAGCTTGTGGCTGAGCATTCCAGGCTACCATCCTCCTTAACTCGGCTAACTCATCCCTGAGTTGTTAGTGAGCTATATTATCAGGAAGAGTATGAGGGGGTTCCTATTTCGGGCTACGATCATTGCCCGAAAAAGGCTCTTTTCTTGGATCGAGCTTCTTCCACTTGGCATCCCCTCCCTTACTAGCCAATGGTGGTGGCCTATAAGGAAGAAGTTTATCTGGCTTGGTAGGCCCGACTTTTCCACTAGATTCCTAGATCAATTGGGGCATCCCATACTTCGTTCTTTCTTAACCACCCTGCCCCCTATTATTAAATAGAAATAGTGAAGGGTCAAGCAACTCTACTTTTAGGATTTCCTCCAACACTAGCTCATTGGTGCCAAATTCTTCCTTGTTTTTATCCTTACCATTCTTCTCCTCTAGCAAAAGAAAGAATGGAATAATTGGTTCTTCTTCGAGGCATGCTCCCCTTACATAACCATTTTTTGGAGTAGAATACTCCAGATCTAGTCGTCTCTGCAAACTCCCTGTTAAAGAGCAGGGTCTGCTGACTTCTCCCCTGGTTTCCAAGGAAATTTTATCCTTACTTTTTAACACTTGCACCATGGTGGCTTGAAAGTCTTCATTAGTTACCATTCCTCCTGACTTCTCATATGAGGTCGGGCTTCTCAAAACAGCTGGTTCTTGTATGGAAGGAACTTTCTTTGTGCGGTCTTCCATGTTTGATTTTGGTAGAGACTGGGGTAACCTGTACTCTATGTTCCACCTGAAGGTTTTCTCCTTTTTTTCTCTTTCTTGGCATACAAGACTAATGTGGTCCCACCGGTCGGGCAAAGATTTCTCCAGAGAAGGCTCATCAGCTCTTAGCACAACTCCCCAAGGAATTGGCACTTTGGATGTGTAGTCAGGCTCTTGCTTGCTGATGTAGTGCAAGAAGAGGATAGAGTTAGTTTTGAAAGGTGCCTTTGTAGGGTCTTAGATGTAGGCCTTGAGGCTCGCAATAAAAACTAAATGAGTGCTAGACGTGCCACTGCTATCTCAGTATAGCAAATGTAGAACAAGTGTATTTAGTTTATTACTTACACCCCAAGTTACTCGGACTTCTTGTTATCAAAGGATTGTCGTGGATGGGTTAAGTCCACATTAAGTTCTTTTTCTTGCCTTATGACCAAGGACTTTCAGTTCATAGTCTTGTATGTTTGAGTAAAGGGAGTCCAAATCCCCTTAAGTCATTTACTTGGTTCTTGATTGGTTTTAAATGAAGGCGTATTCATTAAGGTGACCAGATCCAGGCACAAATGAAACTCTTAAAGTATGAAAATAGATGGATGTGACTTGAATACATGCTAAAGAATACATTAAGCAGTAGATCTATTAATTTATAAAACAAACAAAGAGCTTTGAGCAAGATTTTACTTTGTCGGGAAAGGTTGAACTTCTTGCAATCATTTCTCTTTTAAGTTTACAGGGTTTATATGCTAAGAAGGGATGGATGGTAAACAAGTTTACACGAGGGAATCGATACTACGCCACTTGGGTTTTATGATCGCAACATATCTAATTCCTTATATTTAGTTTTTTATGATCGCAACATATCTAATTCCTTGAAATTTGGAAGTTGCTAACCTACAAGCATATGCATGAAATTTTGTCTCAAAAATTTTGGAAGTCGCACATAACACATGATTTGTAATTTCTCGTGTGGACCGCGCGAAAAGGCTAGTTGGAGGGTAAAATGGGACTCTACAAAATATTCATAAACGGGTTAGACTAGGACGCGCCCTAACCCTATTTACTTCTGGTACCTTCTGCTCTCTCTCTCTCTCTCTCTCTCGGAGAAGCATTTGAGCAGAATCCATTACAGGCCGACTAAACCTTTCCTCTGTTTCGGAGCTAGCGTGCTTCAACAATGGCGACTCTGATGCAGAAAATCAAGGATATCGAAGATGAGGTACTTTTGCCTGCAACCCCAATACCCTCTCTTCTACTTTCTCTGCCAACGACAAACCCTAAATTAATTTAGGGAAGATTGAATACTTTATGTATAGCCTTATCACATGTTAGATGCTTAGGGTTTCAATGTTTTTTTTTTTTTTGGCAGTTCCTTTTATTCGGTTTCGAGTAATTAACAAAAAAGTTGAATAAAATGTAACTTAGAAGAGGAAAACAAAATTTGTCAAGTAAAAATTTTGTTATAGCATTACCAACTCAACTCTCTCCAATCAAGGAAAACATAATTTGAAAATTTAATTTATTATCTTGTTTTTGTAGACCTGTATGATTAACATGTAAAGTTTAGTTTTATGGAATAGTTATAGGTCCAGATTTTGGTAAATTTGATTTCTTGTTTTTTCAATTAGCCGTTGAAATGCGTTTATTGTGTTGGAGGGGGTGTTTCTGGCATCTGGATATGTCAGATTCTTTGAGTAGTAACAGGAATTTTAATATTTCTTTACTTATTAATTGCAGATGGCTAGGACTCAAAAGAACAAAGCTACTGCCCATCACTTGGGTTTGCTGAAGGTGAGTTATATTCTTTTTCATTGTAATGTTCGTCAATATATTGCCATGCATGGTCAAATTTTTTGACAATAGTGATCTATCAATTTTTGCTAGGCTAAACTTGCAAAGCTAAGGAGAGATCTACTTGAGCCTCCATCAAAAGGCGGTGGCGGTGCTGGTGAAGGTTTTGATGTCACTAAAAGCGGAGATGCAAGAGTTGGTTTGGTGGGTTTCCCTTCAGTTGGGAAATCTACACTGCTGAATAAATTAACTGGGACCTTTTCAGAGGTAGAGAACTCTCCATTTATCTCATTTCACACATGATCTATGCAAGGCAAATAAATTTTTTATTTGAAGAGAGACAAAATTATTTCCCAGAGATTCGTTATGTTAGGCATGAAAGCATGTAGAGTTTGATTGAGATCACTTATTATGTTTAAATGTGGGTCTCCAATATTAAGCCGACTTTGATCTTCTAACAATCTGTGCAGTCTACTGGGACTCATTGCCTGGTCTCCCAGAGATTCTTTAGAACCGGTTTCTGTCTGTATAGAGATCTTATATACTGTGGAAATTCGTCATCACAAATGTAAAAGTTTATTTTAAGTGATGCTATTTGTAAAATATTAGCTGAATTTTCTTCTCTTAGATGGATTAACTTAATGGGGAATTCAGGTCTGCACTAAAACTAATTGAACATAGTGATAAGCCCTCTTTCAACCTTTGATCTATTTATTCCACAACTTGGCTCATGGACCATACAATTTGCTCTACTCTGATTGATGTTGTTAGAACATGATGACCTGAGATTGTATAGTGGAATGAGACATATGATTTATGTCCAGTGGGAAAGTTCTGCTTTGCTTACCTTCATCTTAACTTTTGTATACAAGTGACCCTATAGTTTATTTTTAATATGTAAATGTGTATATTTAGCTGCCTTAGAGTATACATGGATAAGGAAAAATGACATCCCAAAATTCAGAGGAAACTGAAGGCACGAAGATGCCAAAAAGTAACACACTACCCTACCCCATAACCTACCTCCTCCCTAGATTTTTCGAAAGTCAAGTTTCATTCCATTCACACTGCCCAAAAAGCAGCCAGCCCACAACTCCAAGAAATTTTCTCTCCACTTCTCCAAAAGCATAGTGTTTCTCAACAAGCATGGAAATGCAAAGTATAGAAATCACATGTTACACAATCAATTTCTGTTGAAGCTTTAGAGTGGTATAACAATGAAAAAATAGGTGGTCAACAAGTGCAACCTCATTCTTGTAAATAAGGTCAATAGGAAGATAAGCAAACATAAGGCCTCCTCTGGACTATGTCACAAGTATTGACTTTGTCATGAGCTCTAATCCAATCTAGAGCTAGATGATCGTGGGAGAGGGTGAAGTTTTTGTCGTCCCTTTGGTCTTCAGTTACATCAGAAGTCAGACATCTTACATTCTTCTTTCCTTCTAGTTGTTTTTTTTTCCCTTGTAATCAGTTGTACTTTTTTATCAGTGGACCTCCTTGTTCACTAATTTTTTGTACCTTTGTTTGGTTGAAAGGAGCTATTTTCAAGCAAAGAGAATGGAGAGACAGCTCCCCTGCCTCCAGATTATTTAAACTTCTCTGGAAAAGAAAGTTCTTACTGGTTGGAAAAGGATTCAACAGAGATTGACAAATTGGCAGTTTAGAGTCCTGAATCCGTTATGGCGTAGAAATTATATGAATTGGTTACTTTTGGATCATCAATCCTCCTAGAACCTAATATTAATGCAGAAATGATAGAAACAATTGATCCTACCTGGAGCCTCAACCACAATATTAGGGCCCCACCCATTTACAGGTTCCTGATATTCTCTTTGGTCTGATGTTTTCCAAGCTTTATATTGCACTGAAACTCCAGGGAACTGTCTGGGAATGGAGGATTGTATTGAAATCCTTTCAAAATTTGATTTGTACCTTCTGTATGAAAACGTTGGGGTTGGGGGTTTCAAGATTCCCTTGTATGCTTCTAATGTCTATGTGTGTGATAAGACCTAAATTCTTGATTGCTATGTGAAACCTGAATGTTATTATTGTTATTCTTTCCTTTGTTGTGCAGCCATGCAATAAAATGTAGGCTGCCTACTAAGATATATGCTATCATTGCTAAGAAAATTCTTGATATTTTTTTAAGACCACCTAATGGGTGTTGTGTACAGGTTGCTTCCTATGAATTCACTACTTTAACTTGCATACCAGGAGTGATTGTGTATCGAGGTGCGAAAATTCAGGTATTATAATATTTTGCTTTGTTTGTTACATTTGCTTATATAATTGGAATTTTTATAATTTAGTTGGTGGTTACAGTTTTGTGTTTTTTTAGATTTGGAATTCTTGTTGACTATTCTTGTTGACTATTCTTGTACGTATGTCTGTTTGTTTGTGCGTTTGTGTTTTATAAGCTCTTTCCTGATAAAGAGAAGTTTTTGATATACTCAAAATAGCTGTTCTAGATTTATGATCCATTTGCTCCCTTACCATAAATATTTTTTAATTGTCGCACTTCAATTTGCAGTTGTTAGATCTCCCTGGAATTATTGAGGGTGCTAAGGATGGAAAGGGTAGAGGAAGACAGGTAAAATGTGATATTTGTTTCTCATTGTGCTACCGTAACATGCTGATTTATTTAAGTGCACTTATTTCTTATACTCTTTTTTGTTTTTGATGTCTGCATTCCGATGTTGAATCGTAGAACCCGTATAATAACATTTCTCCTTTGTCTTTTTGATAACCAATACTCATTTAAACCTTTTATAACTTCAGTCGTTATCTTTAACATCATCCTGGGTATTTCCTTCATCCTTCCTCACTTCTTTCACATCTTCCTCCTCTTCTCTCCTTCTCCCCTCTTCCCTGTCAGTTTTCCATTAAACAAATTAGAAAAAGAATAAAAGTGTGTTACCAAACAGGCCCATATTTTTATTTATTTTGTTTGAACTTGCTGTTTTCTTTCTCTTCAAGCCTCTCACATAATTGTCTTCTGTTTTCTAGCCAAACCATACAGTGTGTATATATGCTTTAATAGCCTGTCCATGTCCATGCAAAGTAGGCTATAATTTTCAAGGCCGCTGGACAAGACCTGAACAAGGGTGTTTTCTATGAATATAGATTCTTGCCCTAAGAAGCTCTGTTTTCCTTGCAAGAAATTTATACACTATGTTGTTAGATAGACTAAACAACTTTCAAATAATTAGATGACCAATATTGCACCATTGCGTGGATTTACAAGTGTTCTGATGGTTTTTTATCATGTAAGTGTATGGAATGGCTTCCAGAAAGATAGGTTTGCATAAAAATGACCTTGGGTAGTTTATAAAGATCTGGACTAACATACTTTTGCAAAAGGACTTTCCTTTTATGTTATGAACCTTTTCTAGTAGTGAAACATGCTTGAGGTATATTTTCCTTTTGGCTGTGATTAATGTTGTTATAATTTGTTTGATATGTCGCACTAATGAAGGCTTGAGATATGTCAGAGATTGTTGGAATACAGAAAATGAGTTGTTCTTCTTCCCTTTTTTCTCTGTGCTTGGGTGTTCGTTATATGCTTTTAGATTCACTTATTGAACTTTCATGGCATCCAGGTTATCAGCACTGCTAGGACATGCAATTGCATTTTAATTGTTCTTGATGCAATAAAGCCAATAACTCACAAGCGTCTAATTGAAAAAGAGCTCGAGGGATTTGGCATAAGGTCAGCTATAGCTTTGTTTCTGATCCCTATAGCTTTGTTTCTGATCACTATAGCTTTGTTATTTAGTTACTTCAGTTTAGCTGATCTTAAGGCCATTTATGCATTGGTCAGTATGCATGCTTTCAGAAGTTCTCCTTTTCGTTTGCATAATTTGAATCTGCTGGATTTTCAAAATTTGGTTGTACCTTTGCTCTACGTTTTGTTTACATCATATAAACTCTTTTCGCAAGCCTTTACGTGATACTGATTCAACATTTTTTTAATATAAAAATAAAAATTTGATTGAAATATTCCTAGGATCTACATTTCTGTGGATGATGTGTTGTTGAATTTAGCTGGTAAAGGCTTGTCTGGACTTGAAACCTTTTTCATAATGCTTCTTCAAAGCTTTTTTCCCCTTTGGTAAACGTCAGAGGCTATTAATTCTTCCTTTTATCAAATATGGATTGTTTTGCTGCAAACACCATGCCTAGTGAGTTAGTTGACAAAACCTATAAGTTACATGCTTGTGACAATTTATTCAAGTGTCCACGTTTTTTTTATGTGTATATGAGTGTGTCTAGATGTATGTGCATGTGATCTTTCTCACATTGTCTAGACTCTTTGCTCGTACATTCTCTTCCTAGATAGTTTATACTTATAATTAGCTAAATGCTTATTGTGAGCAGGTTAAACAAGGAACCACCTAACCTTACATTCCGGAAGAAAGATAAAGGTGGTATCAATTTCACTTCAACGGTTACAAACACACATCTGGATCTTGAAACTGTGAAGGCAATATGCAGTGAATACAGAATTCACAATGCTGATATCACTCTTAGGTTTGATGCAACTGCCGATGATCTCATTGATGTTATTGAAGGCAGTAGGATATATATGCCTTGCATCTATGTTGTGAACAAGATTGATCAGATTACACTTGAAGAGCTTGAGATTTTGGATAAACTTCCTCACTACTGTCCTGTCAGGTAATCTTTTATTTAATACCATAGTTTATAGTTTCAATCTGGATTATTGTTGCAAAATCTTGGTTATTTGAAATTTTTGGATGTTCCATCTACCTCTCTTTAGAGAACTTGAACTTCAGTGTTTGACAGCTCTACAATGCATCAGTTATCAGGAGTTTCTATAGAAAACATTGTAATTCTGAATAGTGCTTAATTAAACACCAGACTCGGTGTTAAAACAGTTTGCAGTTACACAGCATGGCAAAATGAATAAATTTCAATAATAGTGCACAGCTTCTAGTCATTGATCCAGTTGGAGTTGGATTGTGTAGCGCCCATGAATCATTGTTTAGATTTGTTTTTCCTTGGAAATATTTGTTATTATATTATTGCTTCTATTTCTTTTTAACTTTTCTTCATTTTCTGGTATAGTTTGGCTGGCATATAATTTCTGAAATTATTGTTTAGTAGTTTTGTTAACTTGTGCAATTTTCCATGGCTAATCTGCAGTGCTCACCTGGAGTGGAACCTTGATGGTTTGCTGGAGAAAATATGGGAGTATCTTAATTTAACTCGCATATATACAAAACCTAAAGGGATGAATCCAGACTATGAAGACCCTGTGATCCTATCATCTAAGACAAGGACCGTTGAGGATTTCTGCGAACGGATTCATAAAGATTTTATTAAACAATTTAAGTAGTAAGTACCTCTCTTAAATTTTCTTAATGTTGAACCATTTAATATTTAATTGTTTTTTTAAATGATATCAAGCACTCTGAAAACTGGGAAAGGTACTCTAGGCACTTGTCTCAACAGCTGTGCAAAATTAGAGCTTTAAGTAAATATAGGCTTCCACGTTCTTTGGAAGTTTCAACTCAATGGTACTTCTGGACATTAAAAGACTCTTCATCTTTTTCTGATTTGAAAATGATAACACCAACTTCTGGGGAAAGGAAAAAGGTGCTTGTGTCAACTTCCGTGCTAAGTTAAAGCTTTAAGGTGGACACAGATTTTATGTTTGCATCATAGTTTTAATTGGGTGGCGGTATGTTACTTTTTGGACATTGAAGTATTTTTCATCCATCTTCAAATATATAGCAGTTCAGAATCTGTTTCTTTCCTTTCTTTCTTTAGTGGTTCAAAATCTGGCATTTGTTTATTCCCCTGTAAATCTGGTTGCTATACTTGGGACGTGTCCCGCGGACACTTTTATATGGCTCATTGTTTCATTTAAAGTTAACTTTGGTGTTTTTTTTTTTTTTTTTTGCAGTGCTCTTGTTTGGGGGTCAAGCGCGAAGCACAAGCCCCAAAGAGTTGGCAAGGTTGGTTAGTTTTATTTATTTATTTTTGAATATTAAATATATGCTACACCATGGTCATCTCTTCCACGTGCGACTACTTGATTTATTTCTATTAATGGACGTTGACTGTGTTAATTAAGATGCATAGTTGCTGCTTTGACACAACAGGAACATCTGCTTGAAGACGAAGATGTTGTTCAGATTATCAAAAAGGTGTGATTTGGTGAATATCAGGATGTCATGTACGAGAGGTAAAGCATTTTGAGATGAAGCTTTTCTTTTTTCCCGACTGGATTGCTTGTATTTTGTAGACCATACAGCACCTCCTCCAGTGTCTGCTTATTGGGGGTGTAAGGCTAGGCAGAACTTGAGGCAGTTTGATATTTAATATCATACTGCACGTCGTCATAAAATTTATTTAGTTTGTAGTATAAAAAGTATCATCCATCACAAAGAAAGTTGTTTTTTTAAGAAGGTAACGGAAGTGAGATGCTCCAGGCGTGAGGATACAACGAATTGTGGATTACTGCATGAGCGTAATGCCGTAAATAGTAGTAGAGCCTAACGCCTGGGAGGATCGCTTCTATTTTGGGCTCGGTTTATTTCCCTTGCTTTAGCTATTTAGATAAGTTGTCTAATTTTTGCAAGTCCAAAGAGCTCAAGAAATGGGATAAGGAAGCTCTTATTTTATGGTCAAGTTTTGTGTTCTTGGTTTACTGCGATCACAATGTGCGCTACATTTGGTTGGGGTAGATAATGATGGATTAGTTCAGTTTAAGAAATGAAGGGGAAGGGGGTGAAAGTTGATGAGCAGACAGAAGTCACAAGACGAATGCAAGGAAGTGAAAAAAAAATACATAATATATAATGGGGTGTGCTATGCACATACTTTATTGTACTTCTCATACGTTCTTTTTAAATTTTTTGATCTTTTTCAATTCATCTGATCTAATGGTTGAAAATTAGAAGGATGTGTAAGAAGTAAAAGGTGGTATGTGGATATTACACACCTATATAATAACCAAACTGTCTATTTTTCAAGTTTTAGTTCATAAATCATTTAAAATTGTTAGCCAATTCGTAAATGATTGAGACACCTAATTGTGGTAAAACAAGTTGACTAATAGAGTGTAAAAACACTAACATTTCATTAAAAGAATCAAGTGGCCAAAAGTAAGGGTGGGTTTGGTTTCATTTGCTTCGGTTTTTTGCCAAAATCGAAATCGAACCAAAATTTTGATTCCTCAACAAAAAGTGACTTTCTATTGCTACTTTTGGACCCAAATATCTCACAAATGGATAAAAAGGACAATGTTAGCACTTCGAAAATGATGAAAAGTGGTATTGAGTGGGCTCAACAAAAGAAGAAAAGTAAATGTAGTTCATGCAATAAGTTAGTACGACATGATACAAGAACTTGCGCATCGAATCTGAAAAGAAGAAAGATCGAATCAACTAAAGAATGTATGTCAAATTAACTTTTTTTTTTATTGATATTTTCCAATGTCAGGTTGCCTATTTGTGTATAATTTTTTTTTTTTTTTGTTATTTGCAATCTATCAAGGAATGAGGAACAAGAAGACTTGGGCGAATATGTGGAGAGTGATGATGTTTAAGTTTTGTAGGATAGAATGTCACTGAGTTGTGCTATTTTGTGCAGTTTTCACTTTTCATAGTTTCTAAAATTGGTTTTATTTTGTTAAAGTTTATGCTAACAGTGTCTTGGAATTGGTTATGTTTTATTAACATTATTGAGACCTGAAAAAGTCGATTTCCGTGAAGCCTTATGAGAAAGAGAGAGAGATTTGATTTTTTTTTTTTTATAACCAAAATGCGAAATAAGAATGTTGATGCACAAAATCAGTGAGACTTTAGAACAACGTAAAGTGTCAAGTTTTTTACCTTCGCTCGGTTGCTCCGGTCACCTAGTGATGATGATGTGTAAAGAGATAGAGATGGGGAAGCAAACACAAGATGTACGTGGTTCATCCTAAGCTTGGCTACATCCATGGAGTAGAGGAGTTCTTATTAATAGTGAAAGATTTACACAAATACATAGGTTCAAGCATAATCATCATTAGTGAGTTATAATGACTAGTTTAAGTACAATAATGACATTAGGGATTAAGTGTAGGAGAATGGTCTCCTTTTATAGTTGAGGAGAGTCTTTAGCTTTTGTTGTTGGTCGATGTGGGACTCTATGAGTTTTATTTTGACGTTGACATGTGTCGCGCTGTGATTGGCCTCCTGGTTGGAGGGAAACTCTTGTGCTTCGGCAGGGGTACCTTAGCATGAACCCCTTAATGGGTCCTTGAAGGTATGACATTGACCGGTGCTAGGTAGTTTCAGGATTAGTCAAGTATGGTACAAACAAAGAATTTTACCATACTTCTATAATCCACTATAAAAAGAACATTGGAAATATTGGAAATTTATAATAAAACCACAAAACTTATTTTAATTTATAATTTGTATAGAAAGCAAAAATCCATGATAGTTGTTGGGGGTGAAATTGGTACGAGGCGGAATATCCTGAAATTAAAAATCCATATATGTGCTTGTCTAACTAGTCAAAGCACCAAACAACTAAGATCAAATATGTTAGTTTGTTAACAACAGAAGTAGTCAATTTAAAGCTCAATTTATTGAAGTGTTCCTAGTTAACTAAGGTCAGTTCAGTGCACATTTTAACTCTGACAAGCTTAGTTGCATTGACTTACTTTTTGCAAATAATGACGAACATATATCACAAGCTAAAAGTAAGACAAGTAAACTCGAGCAATAAACTGCACAGGGAGTTTTTGGTTGAAAAAACCCACCTCTGGGTTAAAAAATAAAGGACTCTCCACTGAGTCCAATCCACTAGTGTAAACAAGATTCTTTCAAAATACCACGCCAAGTTCAATTCTAGACCTAGTCCACGGAACAACTTTACCTTTGTGCAAACTTGCCTTACACGAGAAGGATTCCTTTGGTCTTCACGAAGTGGCCGTTCCTCCTGAGCTCTTCACCTTGTGGCACCGAAATGGTGTTGTCTCCAGTCTTCATAAGATGACAGCTCTTCTTGAACTCTTAACCTTGTGGCATCAAGACCAACACACAAACTATGCATATGATGATGATTTGCAGATCTTGATTCAAATGTCCAATCAGTTTCTCCATTTAAACAATTGAAGGAAGAAACTAAAAAGAATCTGAAAATGGGCCAGTTCAAAGATTTGAAACTAGAAAAACTTGACCAAAACCATAAATCAAAATCACAAAAACAATACTACCCTAATATGCAAGGATTTGGGTGTTTAGTGCATGAGTGTGATTTTGTGGCTAGGATTTCTGATAAGGAACACAAGGAGGCAACTCAAAACTAAAACAACTCTTTTCTGAAAATGTAAATCTCCTAGCAAGTTGAATTGAAACCCTAGATTGAGTTAAAGAGGGATTGATGTTCAAACAAGAAAGGGACCAGAAAAGCCACACGTCATGTGCAAAATCAATCTAGAAAGATCTAGGGTAGAAAAACCATTTTCGGGAAAAAGCTGTTAGATGTCTCATGTGGGTTGTCTTAAAGTGTGTGTGTGCCCAGCTTACGTGAAAGCAGCAAGAAGTTTTGATGAGACAAAACCACTAGACAGAATGAATTGAAAATAATAGCGTGAAATGCATATGAATGAACAAACCTTGATGTGAGAAGTTAAGCTCTTGAAATGATATTTCCAACAGCAACATCTCAAAGTAACATTTTAACCCTAAATCTAACTAGAGCATGGTGGTACAATTATAGCATTTGACAAAGGAAGCCAAACAATAATTCTAGACTTCACAAGGGGCTATTGTTGTTTATACTAAAATCTCAAAACCTTAAAAAGTTCATTATGTGTAAAAATCACTTGCTCTTCTTCGGTTCTTTTGTGTAATCAGAGAGAGAGAGAGAGATTGATTGATTGATTTGATGAAGAGAGAGAGAGAGAGAGAGATTGATTGATTGATTTGATGAAAAATCTAATAATTGTTCTCATTATTCACCTATTATTAGACATAAATGAGAGAGAGATTTGATTGAAATACTTTTTTAATTTAAAAAAGATTTGGCATTAAAGCGAAAATTACAAGTACAATCTTTTCCAGTACAATAAAAGTTAAAAGCAAGAAGGGCACTAGTAGGTAAGCAGTAATCCCAAACATGTGACAATTCCAGGGAAAGACCAATGTGGGCCAAGGCATCCACAACAAAGTTAGCCTCATGATAAATATAGTTTCACTCAACTTGCCTAAGGAGCAAGCAATTGAGAGTCTTTGCATTGAGGAGCAAGCATTTGATTTATTTTAATTCCAAAATTATAAATCCATGTCAGCTATCATCTAAGCAGTTGAGAGTCTTCGCATCGAATGGCTATAAACTTGTGTAAAAAATTGTGTAAAAAAATGTGGTGCCCTTTATATATAGTAATTTTGTACAATTCATATAAGATTACTAGAGCAGTAAAAGCACCAAAGGAAGAAATCTTGCATTTAGAGGCCAAGGCAGCATTATACACGCAGAGAGCAACAACTAGAGGAAAGCAAAATCAGATAAAAACCACTAATCACCGAATCCGATAAATACATCACAAGCACATCGTTATCGTGCTAAGAAAAAGAGCCAATACTAGTTTTATCAAGTACAAACCAATGAAAGACATAACAAGGGTAAGGAGCAGTAGAGGTCATCTTCGAGCACATACATCATCAGCCCTTCACACAACAGTTGAAGTAGCTGAAAATGCTCCGTCGAGTCTGTTGGCAAAATACAAATATAAAAACACAATTACGTTAATAAAAACCAAATTAAAGATTGAAGTTGTCAACAATAAGCAGCAGCACAATTTATAATTTTATAATCCTTTCCCGTGTAAAGATATATATCCCTCTAAAAAGAAAGTTTCAAATTCAAAATAAGTGAAAAGGACACTTGATTACCAAGTAGCTGAGTCAAATCCTTTCCTTTCACCATCACTACTCACTAGGGCCAGGCTTATAAAAGTTGGATCCATACTAATTACTTTATCAGTTTTCTTTGTTTATATAAACGATCGGCCACTTAGTACTAAGTTCAAGTAGTATTTTTCTTTCACTTGTAAGTGAGAGATCTTAGGTTCGAATATATCTCTGTATGAAAAAGAAAAACGATCGAAAACGACATGAATACCATCACAAACAATACCATTGGGATAATGATCCAATGGATCAGATGATGCATATAATCTTGTGTTCTCCCCTCCAAAGTCCAAACACACACCAACAAAATTAAAATCTAAAATGGCCGGTGCACGTGCACCACGTGGACTTGCGTGTAAGTATCTAGGATCACTCATTCAATTGTTTTTCTAACACACACAAGTCAGAATATCTTCCTTCTTTTTAATAAAAAAGAAGATATATTATTTTAATGGCCCAGACCCAGAGCATTAGAGCACCTCATCTCATGCATGTGCAACCACTAGTCTTTTAGGATGGAATGTATGCATCCTTAATACATTTACTAAGAACATTCTATATTATTTCTCTAAGTGCAACCATCTGAGTTCCTTCTGCCATTTAACAGTAAAGTTGGCACAATCTCCATTTCATGGGATTTTCCCAGGAATTTTCTGTATATTAAACAAAAAAGCTTTCTTCTGCAACTGTCTCAGACCATGTGACCGTGCGACCCTCACACACAAAACACAACGAATTTTGCGTTTTTATTATATCTTAGATGACTCCTACCCTGTATTAAACTCCCAGGAAAAAAAGAATTTTAATCCATCCTATGTACTCCGCAGGGGGCAAACAATCTTTTAAAGGTACGAAATTTGGATGAAGCTTACAACAACAAAGCTTTATCCCACTAAATAGGGTCGGCTATATGAATCTTAGAACATCATTGCGCTCGATTTTGATGCCACGTCTTCCAAATTTGGATGAAGCTTCAAAATTAATTTTGAAAGTGATCATGAATCATCAACTACGACCATAATGAACCTCCTTGACCAAATCAGGTGATTTTTTTTCTTTAAATATAATAACCACAAAGCCAAAAAAATCTTCATGAAAACAGATGCATCAATTCAATGGTCATTGTTCAACCTAACTAAAGTCGCAATTAGAATTAGGCCTATTGAATTATGTTAAAATAAGTGCATCAAAAGTCCCTTAAGGGTGTGGATTCATTGCTACGTAGCACTCATTCATTAGATTTGATTTTGCAACTGTTTACATCTTTTATTTTCAATCTCAGTCATTCATTTCCCGAACCACTCATTGCGACGTACTCTTGAAGAAAAATTGTAAATTACATGTCAATACCATATTAGATAGCACCTATAAAAGGGTAGTCCATTCCCCAATCCCCACCCATCCTTCAAGTGCCAGTGCTACCACATGCTCATAATTCATAAAGCTTCATTTATAAGTACACCAACTACTCCTGCTACTACTTGTATATGTAGTTGTATATTCAATAATTGCATGTTTAATACCAAGCAAAAATAAAAAATAAAAAATAAAAAAAAATTGAAAGAAAAGGGAAAGGAGTCATACAGTTGGAGAGTGGGAGGTCTGATGGTAATGGGGTTCATTGTGAACAGCACCCGCATTAGCAGTGTTTGAGGCAACGAGTTCTTCTTCATTTCCAAGACTGGCTCTGGAAACATCCCTCTTGTTTTGCTTCCTCATTTCCCTTATTTTTGAGAAATCAAGAGAATAGTCTGGCACTTGCCCCTTCTGATCCCAGTCCCCGAATTGCGGCACTGACAACCATGGCGCATTTTTCTGCATTCAACAAACAAACTAGTTACTTGACTGACATTGGACCGAGTTCAAATTTTGAGATTTGTGTAGCAGATAGATTAGTTCAAACTCATCCAACAACGATAATTAACTTGGCGGCACTGCTCACCATCCACTCATAGGTAAGATTAAAAGTGACTTCCAAAGCCACAATTAAAGTCTCTGTTGGTGGAAGGAAACATGATACATAAAATTCAATCACACCCAGGTGATATAATGAAGAGACATGATTTATGAAATAAATACACATTAAAAATTAGCCATTTTAATCTCATGCAATCACTCCTATGGATTTATTGAAGTGAATTGTAAGAAAGAGTTTGGGTAAGACCAAGCCAACGGACGGCGGACTTTATAAGATTTTGGTTAATAGGATGTGGTCTATGGATGACGATACGAAAAATCTCTAAAAAGTAGGATACTATACTATGCACGATTGATATGACAACTAAAAAAAATAACTTGGGTAAAGATTCAAACTTTGAAAACAAATTCCTGAATTTCCACTTGCGATTCCCAAATTCATTCATCCCCAAAATTGTCAAATTGTATACAGCAGGAGGGCTCTAAAGCTGATTGTGACAAGCATTGAAAAAAAAAAAAAAAAAACCAAAATTATATAAAACAGGTAATAACTTTGACTGTTTCTTTCTTAAGCTTGATACATCAAAACCAATTCAACACCCAAGTTTTTCTGATCAGAATTAAGACAAACAAGGACAAGGAAAATGGACCAACAATTAATTCAAACCATATTCATGGATCTAATTAATTTTCTCTCCAATTTCAAGCGAATAAAGAAATAAAACAGATTTCACAACCAACCCCGCTCCCCTGGCAGCAACAAATAAAAGCCCAAAAATGTTTATGCTCTGTTTGGTTACCCAGAAAACGCAGGAAGAAAACAAAACACACTATGTTTCTGAATCCAGAATATAGCTATTTGCATACGTAAAGAAAATTAGCTAATTGTGTTTTTCTTTCTTTCTCCGTCTGCAAGAAAAACGAACTCAAACATGCACTCATAAACACACTCCCATATTTTCCTATACTTCTCCCACTGTTTCTTTTTTTGTTTTTTGAGAAACCAAACAACTAAAAGGAGAGAGAAGAAAAAGAGAATCACCTCCTTTCGATCCTCCATGAGATAAAGACTCGTCCCAGATCCTCCACCTTTATAATTGTCAAGATAAATCAAATTCAACGAAAATAGTTAAAAGTACAAATTAAAAAACCCAGAAAAGTTGAGGGCTTTGGTGGGAGGAAAAGCAGAGGAGAGCAGACGGTACCAACATAGCACGGCACACAAATATATATAAGATTGCATTTACGGTAATAGTCCTCTTCTTGCTGTTCATTTACATAAATGCCACTTTCGTGACTCGCTTTACTTTGTGTCTTTCGGCTTATTACTTTTACTTGTACGTGTACGGATGGAATAAAATATCTTAAAAATCAAAGACCAAAACTATACAGAAATCCAACCGAAAAAATACTGAACCAAACAACAACAACGATGCTTTTTCCTATTAAGTGGGGTCGGCTATATGAATCCTAAAACGCCATTACGCTCGGTTCTGTGTCATGTCTTTCGTTAGATCCAAGTATTCTAAATTTTTTCTTAGAGTCTCTTTAAAAGTCTTTCTACGTCTTCATCTACCCCTTCGACCTTGAACCTCAATCCTGTAATCACATCTTCTAACCGAAGCATTAGTAGGCCTTTGTTTCACATGTCCAAACCACCATAACTGATTTTCTCTCATATTTCCTTCAATTTCAGCTACTCATATTTTACCTCGGATATCATCATTCCTAATCTTATCATTTCTCATATGCCCACACATCCAACGAAGCATTCTCATCTCTGCTACATCCATTTTGTGTACGTATTGATACTTCACCATCCAACATTTCGTGCCATAAAGCATTGATGACCTTATTGACGTCCTATAAAATTTTCCATTGAGCTTCGTTGGCATACGACGGTCACACAACACGTCGAATACACTCTTCCACTTCATCCATCCAACTTGTATTCTATGGTTAAGGTCTCCATCCAACTCTCAATTCTTTTACAAGATAGATCCTAGGTAGCAAACGCTATTGCTCTTTGGTACTTCTTGATCTCCAATCATCACTCCTAACTCATTTGTGCCTTTATTTGCACTGAACTTGCACTCCATATACTCTGTCTTTGACTAACTTAGGCGAAAACCTTTAGATTCTAATACTTCTCTCCAAAGGTTAAGCTTCGCATTTATTCCTTCCTCAGTTTCATCTATCAACACTATATTGTCTATGAAAAGCATACACCAAGAAATATCATCTTGAATATGTCCCATTAACTAATCAATTACCAATGCAAAAAGGTAAGGACTTAAAGATGAGTCTTAATGTAATAACCCTACAGTTATGAGAAAGTTTTTCCGTTTGTTCTTCATGAGTTCTTACAGCAGTCCTTATTTCATCATACATATCTTTTATAGCTTGGATATATGCTACTCGTACTCATTTCTTCTCTAAAATCCTTTAAAGAATGTATCTTGGGACCCTATCATACGCTTTTTCTAAATCTATAAAGGTCATGTGCAAATCATTTTTCATATCTCTATATCTTTCCATTGATCTTTGTAAGAGACAGATTGTCTTCATGGTTGAGCATCCTGGTATGAACCCGAATTGGTTGTCTGAGACCCGTGTCTCTTGCCTCAATCTATGCTCAATTACTTTCTTCCAAAACTTCATTGTGTGACTTATTAACTTAATACCCATGTAGTTCATGCAATTTTGTACGTCGCTCTTATTCTTGTAGATAGGCACCATAGTGCTCTTTCGCCACTCATTTGACATCTTCTTCATTTTCAAAATCCTATTGAAAAGGTTTGTGAGCCATGATATACCCGTCTCTCCCAAGACTTTCCACACTTCGATCGGTATATCATCTGGGCCCACTGCTTTTCTATGCTTCTTCTTTTTCAATGCTACAACCACTTCTTTCTTCCTAATTCGGCGATAAAAAGAGTAGTTTCTACACTCTTCTGAGTTATTCAACTCCCCCAAGGAAGTACGTACTCATTTAATGTCCTTCATTGAAAAGATTATAAAAATAACCTCTCAATCTGTCTTTGATCACGTTTTCTCACGTCCTTCATTGAAAAATACTGAACCAAAACTACCAAAAATACCAAAAAATCTGGTACCGGAAATCGAACCTAAACTGAAACATTGAGTACGAGAATTGGTATGAACCGTTGGTTAGTTCTGTATGACCGAACTGAATTAAATAAGTTTGATTTTAATTTTAAATTTATAATATATAAGATTATAAATTATTATAACCGTCGGATAGGTTGAGATTTAATCTCAACCGCTGAATTAAAATCAACCTCAACTCATTCATGTCTCTCTATCTTTCTCGACTCATTTGAGGCTCCGTCCAACTTTACCGATCTCTCCTCCTCCCCTAATTATCCGGCTCTCGAGTGTCGCCCCTGGCCACACCACACCATCGTGACCACATCGACTCTCTCACTCTCTCTCGTAGTTTCTCGGTCTCCTTCTCTCTCTCGCCCGAGTCTGGTTCCAGTCTCGCTCGAGTTGGGTGGCAATTTGTCTTTCGACTTTCTATTATTCTCATCTGACAGTTGCATTGCACAAGGTAAGAAATTGCACCTTCATTTGTCAACTTTGATTTCGAATTCGATGTAGGATTCTGAAATTGGGGATTGGACTTTTGAAATATTGATTTTGATTTTGAATTAAAATAAGGGATTTTGATATGAAATGCGTTTCGGGATTCTGATTTTAAAATGTGTTTGGGATTCTAATTTCAGAATTTTTATTATGATTTCGATATGGGTCTCTAAAATTAAGGATTAGAGTTTCGAAATTTTGATTTTGGTTTTGAAATAAAATTAGGGATTCTAATATGAAATGTGTGTCAAGATTCTGATTTCTATTTGTGAAGTTTCAGATTTTCATTAAACTTTAGGCAAACTTTACAAGGCTTTATACACCAAGAGGTCCATAGAATATAATGGTCCTGTAGCAGCTATACAATACAATTAAATACAAATTACAATTAAATGATAACAACTCATCCTAATTGCCCTTGTTCACACTCTCCCACAAACTTGACACTGGAGAGGAGACAAGTTTAGAACACAAGGACTGAAAACGCGTCTTCGACAAGCCTTTGGTAAAAAGATCAGCCAGTTGCGAAATGGAATGAAGAAAGTGAACATGGTGAATTCCTGAAGCAACACGTTCTTGGACGAAATGATAATCCAAAGCAATATGTTTCGTGACCGGATTAGCTCGTGACCGGATTAGCAGCCATATATGGTAAAGGCCTGTTTAATGGTTTCTGTTACTTTTTAACATAATATTCCTAACGGGGTTAGGGAATTCTGTTAGGGTTCTCTGTGTGTGGCCGCGCATAGGGCCGTGCCCTTGTCGGTGCGTGACAGCTTCAAAAATTATTTTAAAATTTTGAGCGTGTTCATGGAGTTGTGTAGGTCACGATGGTATATTTATATATCTCAGTTGAGCAATGTATGAGAAGTTATTAGCTAGTATCGGTTATGTGCTTTAAATTAACGTTTTTATAATTGTTTCGCATATAGAGAAGACTTATCCCAAGGACGAGCGCAGTCAAGGGCGACTTAGGGGCTACGATTCTTTGACATACTAGTAAGTGGGCTTTTGGTTTTCAGTATATACTTATACTTGATATTTTCCCAGAAAATGCGTTTAAATAAATGTATGCCTTGAAATGCCATGTATATAATTTATATTCAGCATATGAATTAGTATATGATGCATAATATATAATTGTGGTGTTGTGGACGCTCAGGTAAGCCCAAGTGAGTTTATGAATTGTGAATGTGAATAACGGTTGTGATTAATTGAGAAGCATAGAGCTCATAAACCTGTATCCCGGGTGATTGTGATTTAGCCAGAGATATGGTACATGCCTGTTTATAATGTCACATCTCGCACCGTATGCTCACATTGGATCCAATTTAGGTGCACAGTCTTGTCGTACAGACCATCATATGTGGTTCCGACTCATTGTTGACTAGCGATTTATCGCATAGCTATCATAAGTGCATAGCATTGAGCATAACTATATTACACTCAGTCTTGTCGTACAAACCCTTACAGTGGTTCCGACTCGTGTGCAGTGTAGTGCCGTATAGGTCACTTGTAGTGACTCCGGCTAGATTGATTAATGAGCTATGAATTCAACCGTACAGACTTTTGCAGGGGTTCTGGCTAATATGTTATTTTCCATGAATTTTCACTCGAGTTACTTATTTTGTTTTATATTTTTGGCATAGCATACTTATGATTATGGATTTGTGAAGCATGATTTGATATATAATATTTTTGGCATGGCATACTTATGATTATGGATTTGTGAAGCATGATTATATATATATATATATATATATATATATATATATATATATATTTATATTCCATTTCTGGGAAAATTATACATATTTTACGACGAGGGGTTAGAGCTTTTGGTAAATGAAATGATTTTGAAAAGCTTTGTTTTTGCCTACTTACACTTTTTGTTTTGCGGCCCTCCAGGTTTTAGGTAGACTTGCTGTTGGTGGCATTTGTGGATCTTAGCGGTTCTGACAAAGTATAATATTCGTAGGATTTCTTATGGTACTGTATAACTAGTACTTGTCCTACTGGACTGCACCTAGACTTCTATGCTCTGATTAGGTGTATTTACACTTGTATCTCATTCCTAGCACTTTCTGTTTATCAGTACACATTAATTAGCTTTCGGTTCTTATTTATTCGTATATTTCTTATCCTTATTGTTTCCGTACTGTGCACATGGCTACGTCACTCTCACGTGACGGCTAGCACACCTTGATCTTTGGTCGGGGTGTGTCATATCTTCTCTAAGCTTATCTATAATATGATCAAAATTTTGCTCAACTAAATTGATATCTAAATTATCAAAAGCCATATGAATACTCTCATTTTTTATCTCATTCTTATCATATTCTATATTTTCTAGTTGCTTGTAATTACTAAACATGTTGATGCACAAAATCTGTGAGGACTTTGGACCAACAGAAAATGTTGAATTTACGACCTTCGCTAGATTGCTCCGGTCATTAGTATAGATAGATGTGTAAATGGATAAAGACAGGGAAGAAAACGACACAAGATGTACGTGGTTCGCCCAGATTAGCTACGTCCACGGAGTAGAGGAGTTCTTATTAGTAGTGAAGGGCTTACACAAGTACAAAGGATCAAGCTCTCAATTTAGTGAGTTCTTGTGAATGATTTAACACAAATGGCATTAGGCAATATTGTGGGGGAATGACCCCTATTTATAGAAAAACTTGTAGCTTTGTCACATTGACATGTGTCATGTTATGATTGGTTCTTAATGTCGACACGTGCTGCGCTCTGATTGGCTTCTAATCTTGACACGTGTCGAGTAGTGATTGGCCTCCTGGTCGGAGGGGAACTCTTCTGGGTCCTTGACAGTATAGCGTTGGCCGGTGCTCGGTAGTTTCGGGATTGGTCAAGTATGGTACAAACAGTGCTCCCCTAAGTTCCCGAGTGAGGGAAACTCCTCGGTTGGGGACTTGCAAGATCCAATCCCTTGAGTAATCACGAAACTTCTAAGTACCGAAGTGTGGTCTGATCTTCATCTGCCCTTCTCTGGAAGTACCTTTCCTCCATCCGGGAATGGTGTATTTAGCTGATGTTGACGCACAAGGTAATGTATCAATTTCACTTGAAGCTTAGTTGTAGTTTCGGGCTTAGTCAAGTGTGATACAAACCCTATATAGTAGGAGTCCCCCAAGTCGCCGAGCTAGGAGATCTGCCGAAAGAGGGTGACAGACAAGGTAAGCAGTCAAACTTCCAAGTAAGCAACCCAGGATCAGAGGTTTGACTTCGGCTTCCGGTTGATTGTTCTCCTTCTCCTTGTCTCTCATTCAACTGCCAGGATAAGGAGAAGCAAATGGATAAGAGATGATATGAGATACTTTTGCTTTTGAAGAAGTAACTTTCCACAGGCTTATTCTTGAACTGTGCTGGGAGGGTTTTTTCTGGTGCCCTTCAGAGTATAAGGCCGACTCAAAAATTTGAGGGTCAAAACAAGTCCATCAAATCTAGAGTACGTTCGACCTTGATGATATGGGATACTTTTGCTGTTGACGGAATAATGAATGTGGTATGGAAAGGTGTCGTGCTGTAGTGATCTGTTTCAGCTCACCGTTGAACCTTCTGCTTCAATCTTTTGCATGGCAGAAGTGGTGTGCAACCTTTGCATTTAAATGGTCCTTCAGAACATTCCTTCATAGTGACTCATCCACGCTTGGCAGCTTCAGTGTAAAGAGCCAATATCTGATCAACTGTCATGAGGTATTTGCCGGTGGAATTCGTGACCTTGACAGCAGTTGAGGATGAGTACTCGAGAGCAATGCTAAGTAAGCAACCAGGCAAAGGCTCCAGGCAGTCAGTTCCAAATTGGAGGTTTGATTTCAGGTTCCGACTGACTGCTCTCTTTCTCCTTGTCCTGCAAGGTGTGGACAAGGACAAAGACAAAGACAGGGAGAGAAAGCATGATATGGGATACTCTTGCTTTCGACCCTGATGATATGAGATACTCTTGTTCTTGGTGTGGCTTATTTGCTGAGGTATTATCGGGGGGAAATAAAGCTGAGTATTTCGAGAGGTTATGTTGAGGGTGCCTTTTTCGAATGCGAGAAAGGGTTGAGCATTTTTGCAGGTTTGCCTGTCCGTTGAGGAGGGAGGTCAATGTATATAGGGATTTCCCAATAACAAGTAGTAATGCTATTCCTTTACCCTTCTTGGTCACAGCAATGTAGTGGGAGCTGCCAGCTTCACGTGTTTTAATTTTGTCAGAGCACTTTGAAAAAGTGGTATGTGGTATCTGGAAAGCTGATGTTACGTGTGAAGATTACAGACAAGCTTTATCTAAGGAAATCTGGCTCTCGAAGTTCTGAGAGTTGTGCCTCTTCGGTTTTCGAACAAGCAATCCCGTCGAGGATCTGACTCTCGAGATTCGGAAAGCGGTGCTACTCCGGTTTTTGAGAAAGTAATTATGTTGGGAGTCTTTTCTCGAATGTGAGTAAAGGTTGGACGTTCTTGCCAACCTGTCTTGCCGCAAAACACGGAGGTCGACACACATAGGGACTTTCCAGTTGTCAAGCAGTGGTGTTGTTCCTTTACCTTTATGGGTAATAGTAGGGTAGCTGGAACTTCGAAATTCTCGTGCCTAAACTTTGTCAGAGATCTTTGACAAAGTTATATGTGGTACCCGAGGAGTTGATGGTGCATATGGAGAGCGGTGATTGAACAGTAAGATTCACGTGCTTTCTACTTCACCAGAAATCTTCGACAGATTGCCCGTAATTTCCGCAAAGCTGAGTGTGCATGTGACAGGTGCTGACGAGGCTGAAAAAGCAGGTGCTTCTTCGATTTCTGAGATCGGCCCTCGTGGTCTCTGAGCAGCCCAACTTTTGAGAAAGCAAACGCCTCTTCGATTTCTGAAGCTCCGTCGAGTGCAGATTTTTATAGAGGCTGGCATTAAGTTCCACAGCACACTTGAATCTCTACCAGTAGAAGCTCATTTCTTGCACTTCTAAGATCTTGATTTGTCTGACCTCTTCCCTCTTCAACACATTTTGAAAATGTCTGGACCCTCCGACCGTCGTTTTGACTTGAACCTTGGAGAAGAGACAGCCACGCCTTCTCCAGACAACATATGGCGCCCATCCTTCATATCCCCTACTGGTCCTTCTTACCGTTGGGGATTCTGTGATGAAGAATGATATGACCGCTGCAGTGGTGGCCAGGAACCTTCTCACTCCCAAAGATAACAGACTACTTTCCAAACGGTCTGATGAGTTGGCTGTTAAGGACTCTCTGGCTCTTAGTGTTCAGTGTGCAGGTTCTGTGTCTAATATGGCCCAACGCCTATTTGCTAGAACCCGCCAAGTTGAATCATTGGCTGCTGAAGTGATGAGTCTCAAACAGGAGATTAGAGGGCTCAAGCATGAGAATAAGCAGTTGCACCGGCTCGCCCATGACTATGCTACAAACATGAAGAGGAAGCTTGACCAGATGAAGGAATCTGATGGTAAGGTTTTACTTGATCATCAGCGGTTTGTGGGTTTGTTCCAAAGGCATTTATTGCCTTCGTCCTCTGGGGCTGTACCTGGTAATGAAGCTTCAAATGATGAACCTCCAATGCCTCCTCCTTCTGGGGTTTTGTCAAGTACTGAGGCTCCGGATAACCACCCTCCGGTGCTTTCTCTTTCTGGGGCTCTACCGACTGCTGAGACTTCCCCTAAGCAACCTTTGTGAAGGCTCCCTTTTGTTTGTTTATTTTGACTCATGTATATGTACATATTTGTGGCTTATCGAAAATATTAATAAATAAGCTTTGCTTCATTTCAACATATTGTGTTAAATACACCAAAACCTTCTTCATAAAGTTCTTTGAATTTTTGCTTTTGTTGAAACCTGTATTGTTGAAGCTTTGTGAGTGAAGCATGTAGTTTGAGGTAGTGTTCCCTTAATTTCCCGAGTGAGGAAAACTTCTCGGTTGGAGACTTGAAAAATCCAAGTCACTGAGTGGTTGTGAGACTGCCGAGTATCAAGGTGCAGTAGCATATGGTGGGAGTCCCCCAAGTCTTCAGGCGAAGAGAGTTGCCGAATGAGGTGTCTAGCTAGTAGTCAATGTCATGAGTAGGAAAACTTCACTTGTTTCTTTTCGAAGTGGTAACCCAGGGCTCTTTCTTCATATACTGTTTTTTGTTATGAAGATGTGTTAGGCCCAAAGAAGTGGAGGCCTAGGCCCTTTTTTTTTTTTTTTTTTTTTTTTTTTTTTTTTTTTGTAATGTTTGTACAGATATCTATAATGTGGCCTTTGTCATGATTTTGGAGGATGGGTGTATTCGAATCCAATGAGGGGTAGGGTATGACTCATTATCATGTGCCATGATTTTGTCTTCCTTTAGCTTTTCTTTTGCTTTGCTTTACCATTTTTGCTTTCCTTTAGTCTTCCTTTAGCTTTTCTTCAATATAACACCATTTTCTGTGGCTCAGATCGCAAAACCATCTTCATGAAAGTTGTTCCTTAGCTCGTGAACTACAACATATCCGAATTGGAGATCCATCGGAGCAGTACAACTCCAGAAATTCAGGTATGATGAGTGATTGTTCGTCATTTGTATATCAACGCGTCAGACTTGTTGTGAGCTTCAAAAACTCCATTTTCTCTTGCTCAGATCAACATACTTTCTTCATCGAAGTTGTTCCTTAACTTGTGAACTACAACATATCCAAATTTGAGGTCCCTCGGAGCAGTATAACTCCAGAAATCCAAGTATGATGAGTGACTGTTTATCATTTGTTTGTCAACCCGTCAGATTTGTTGTGAGCTTTGAAACTCTATTCTCTCTTGTTCAGATCGGTATGCTTTCTTCATTGAAGTTGTTCCTCAGCTCGTGAACTACAACATATCCAAAATTGAGATCCCTCGGAGCTGTGTAACTCAAGAAATTCAGGTATGATGAATGACTGGTTATTATTTTTCTGTCAACCCGTCAGATTTGTTGTGAGCTTCGAAACTCCATTTTCTATTGTTCAGATCAGCATGCTTTCTTCATTGAAGTTGTTCCTCATCGTCTCTTTCATAACATATCAAAAATTCAGAATGAACTAATGGTTAAATACTTCCAGATCTTCGAAACATCACAGCAGCTTCGAAATCTGCAAGAATCCGACTGTCATGTTTGGAGCTTCAACACTTTAATTTCCGTCGCTCAA